CTGCCAGACCCTACAGGACTAACCTGCTGAGGGAATCTCTACCTTTGGAGAGCCAGGAGGCCACCATGACAACACTGAGTTCAGTAGACTCCTAGGAGAGCTGTGATCCAATTGCCAGGAAGCCAGGATCAGAAAGTTCTTGCCAGCACTGCTGCCATTGCCTCCTACTCTCACAAAGATCAAGACCGCACGCTAGAGTGATGCTGTGGAAAAACCATCTCCATGACCTTGCTGGGCAGCAGCAGCAGGAAGATTCCCTGCTCTTCACATTTGTCCTCCTGATATTCTACCAGTGCATCTAATTAGAATTGGAACTCTAGTTGAGGGAGTCTGGGAAATGAAGACTAGCTTTCCATCTTTTGCTGTGTGCCAGTTGACCATATCTAATATCACTGTCTTCTTTCTTAGAGTAACCACTTCACTCCTACCTTTTCGCCTTCCTAAAGAACCACTGTGAGACCAGTCTTCTCCTGTCACTCCCCTACCTCACCATGTATGCTTCCACACCTACATTGTTTTTTTTTTTTCTTTTCTTTCTTTTTTTTTGCTTCTCCTTCCCACCTGGCCTATCCTTCAAGGGTCAGGTTAACATGTTACCCCCACAATGGAAGCTTCTCTGACTTATTTCTTCAGCAAACTCAATTGACCCTTTTTCTGGGCTCCTACAACATTTTGTAAAAGTCACTGCTATAGTACATATAATTAACATCATAAGTTGTTTTTCTTTCTGCCAGACTGTGAGCCTTTCAAGGGCAGGTACTATGTTTTAGTTTTCTGTTCTCAATGTCTAGTCCAGGGTCTGGCTCAGAGTGAATAAATGTTGATGGAGTGAATAATACATGATGGCATAATCTTAATCCTCTGGAGCTTTAGTAAGTGAGGGAAACGTATTTATAAGGCAGACAAAATTCTACTGGGAAGTCTTCATATCCCAAAGGCCCTATTTTCTATGTAGTCTTCTGTGGAATTTAGAGACAACCAATTTGACAAGAGGCTCCCCTAGATTTGGTTGAGGAAGCCCTTCCCTGTGAAAGAAGAGAGTTCTGTGAATTAGTCATTTGCCTAGTTTCTTGTAAGTGTAGACTTACCTCAGAACAGAGACATGTAAGCATCCACCTCTCAACCTATCTCCAATCCAGCTATTTGAGAGGAAGTATATGGTTTGGCAAAGCTAAATCTCCAAAACGAAAACCTCTTGGGCAAGTAAAGGCAGCTAAACCTCATAAGTTGTTAGTATACCCAGACTTTGTTTCTGTGCAAGCCCATGTATTAAGATGGACAGGCATGATGGCTCATGCTTGTAATCCCAGCTTCTTCGGAGGTTGAAGTGGGAGAATCTTGGTTGAGCCTAGGAGTTCAAGCTATGATAGTGCCAGTGCACTCCAGCCTGGATGATAGCGAGATCCTGTCTCGAAAACAAAAACAAGATGGAAAGGGGAGTGGGATGGCAAAGGTCAAGAAGGAAGATTCAGCACAGAATCCAGGGAACAGAAGTTATGAGGGCCAAGGAAACCAGGACTTCCAGACCTGGACCTCACTTGCCGATTGGGAGAAAAGTCCTCAAACCTATTCCTTCTTACACTGGCCTCAGATGATTTTCTGACAACTCTTGTGCTCGTGTGCTGTTGTTCAGCTGGTGTTTGATAATGTGAATGTGTCTGAAATGAAAAGAACAATAGGCCAGGAAACCTTATAGCCTGGATATTTTAACTTTTAGGTAAATATTTAAATAATTTGGCAGAGGCTGTTATAAGTAGAAATTATAGGTCTACCCCTAAATTAAGGCTACTAGTTATTCAGTTATTTTTCCTTGAGTATTTATATAAGAAACTATTAAACTGTAACATTTTATAATATTCTGTGACATATAAGATGTTCCGCTTCCTGTGGCTCCAGTTATTCTATCATTTTTTTTTTGTTTTTATTCTACATATTGCCTCTAGGTTATACAAGTTTTTTCCTTCCCCTGGTAAATGAAATCACTATATTTAAAGTGGTATATTGGTATATTTCAGGGCAAACAGCAAAAAAAAAAAAAAATAATAATAATAATAGGTTCCTTACCTAAGCTATACCTCCTAAGGAAAGGGATTTGGGGGGGTCTTGATTTTTCATCTGCCAAGTAGAAAACCTTCTATCCATTTTCACCCAGGAATTGACAATCTGAAGGTCACTGTATTTGGTGCTCGATTGTCATAATGAAATAGTCCCCAGCAGAGATCTCTTCAGATTATTGCAAGGGCAAACCAGGATTACTGAAATATTTTCATGTACAATTGTTATATTGACCTTCAACTTCTGATAATAAAATAAATGCTGAAATTTTAGAGTGTGCTTTTAAGAAATGCCTGAATAAGCCTACATTTGACTAATCAAGGATAAGTTTACTTGTCCAGTTTTAAATTCAAGCATGAATATAATTTTTGTAATTAATATGTATTTTCACACTCTTTACAAACCAATATTGTAATAAGTGAATTTTGCTGTCATAGTTTTTAAAATTTATTTTTATTTTTCCCAACTTGTCCTTTTGAAATGCTTTCAGACTTATTGAGAAAGTTGCAAAAACTAATATGAAGGATTTTCACATACTCTTTACCTAGCTTCTACAAATGTTATATTATATAACTATAGTACCATTTTTTAAACAGGAAATGAACTTAGTAAGTAATCTATAGACCTTATTCAGATTTTGTTAGTTGTCCCATTAGTGGACTTTTTCTGTTCAGGATCCAGTCCAAGCTCACCAGTTGCATTTCATTTTCATGGTTCCTTGGTCTGCTTTAATCAGAGACAATTCCTTAGTTTTTCTCTTTCATAACTTTGACTCTTTGAAGAGTATTGGCCAGTTATTTTGCAGAATGTTCTTCGATTTATGTTTGATATTTCCCAATGATTTAATTCAGGTTATACATTTTGTCAAGAATATCATAGAAGCGACATTGTACCCTTCTCGGTGTGTCTTGTCGGGAGGAATGTGGTTGATGTGTCTCATCATTGGTAATGAGGCACTTTGATCACTGAGTTAAGATGGCATCTGGCAGGTTTCACTGCTGTAAAGTTACTGTCTTTCCTTTGAAATTAATATGCATCTTATGAGGGGATACTTTGAAACTATGTAAATATTCTGTTTTTCATTGTACTTTTGTCTATCAATTTTAACATCCATTAATTATCTCTGCCTGACATAATTATTACTGTGGTGTTTACCAAATTGTGATTTTCTATTTCTGTCATTCCTTCTACATTTATTGAGATACTACTGTATGGAAGAGTTTATTTACTCATTTACTTATTAAATTATCAATTTGGCCTGATCCTCTAGAGACTATCAGAAGTGGTTTGTGAGTGAGAGTCAACATGGTGACTTTTGTGTACTGCACTTTCCAGCTCACCCCATGAAACCTGCTCCCTTTTGTGATAACTGTGCAGCTAGATGATTTTGGGGGTGAGGGATGGGATGGGGGTGCAGTGTCTGGAAAAGAGCTTGTGTAGTTTTGTGGAGAGAACCTAAGGAACATCCATCTACCATGGTTCTGTTGGCATCCAATGATTTATACCAGGGGTGAACAGCTTTCCAAGAAAAATACTTCGAATTCTGTGAAAGCATATAAAACATGGTCTGATGGACTAGTGTGGTCTTCATGGGGGCAAGAGTTTTGGGAAGAACAGTGTGGGACATAAGAGGAAGGAGCACTCTGTAAGAGAAGAAGGAGCCCAACCTGGCAAGTTAGACCCAGAAATAGAGCAAGGGCTTCAGACTCTAAAATCTCAGCAAGGAGATTTTAGGTTGTTGCTATAGAATTTACCTCAACACAGACTTCTAGCAGTAAGTATTACCCTTGGCAAAAGTCATTTAGCGTATTAATTAAAGGAACTGTGAGAGTAAATGGTCTGATACATTAGATCCACACAACCTTACTGTAGGACCCTGTACTGCTGTACCTGAGTGTAATCTAGATGGGGTATTGTCCTTTTCATTTTGTAAGGTCAACTGTTTGGGTCTGTAGCCTCAAGGACATTTCAGTTCCAGCTTTACCAGTACAGCTGCAGGACTGTAGCTCATTGACACTAGATGTAGGTCTAGGCATTGTTGAGTTTCCACTCCACCAGTAGACAGGGGATAGCCATGGGCTCAGGAGTTGTTTCAGTTCTGAGTGATACTTCTATGGAACCACCTGCTGCAGAGGCTGTGGAGTCCTAGTTCAGCTCACCAGAATGGGAAATAATGACAATGACTGTCTCATAGGCACATGTAATATCCTTGAAGTTTTTAGCAAATTTACAGAAATAGGGACACTATTAAACATTGGATCCCTCAAAAAAAAGGCCCTTGCCAGATGACAGCCCTTTGGCTTTGGACTTCCCAGCCTCCAGAACTGTGAACCAATAAATTTCTGTTCATTATAATAAAAAAAAAATGGATCTCTTACATACAGTTAAGCAAGTAGGAGGGAGGGTACTATTGAGGCTTAGATATTAATATTATGTTAAACAATTTTAAATTGGGGGACCATTAGGCTGGAGTGGTTTCAAGTAGGTTAAGTTCCTATATAAGTAAACTGAAGCCCAGTATGAGTGTGAGACACTCATATTGCTGGAAGAGTGTAAATGGGTGCAATCTCCAGAAAATGCAATTTTGCAACATCTGTGAAAATTTTAATTACATAAGCCCATTGGCCCAAAATTCCACTTGCAAGAATATGTCCTACAGATATGCCTGTACCCATAATGAAATTGTATACACCTGACATGATAAAGAGATTGGAAAGAGCCTGAAAAAGTCTGTCAGCTGGCTAAATGAGACTGGTTAAATAAATCATGATAGGTACATATAATGGAATGTCATATAACATTTTAAAACAGTGAGGAAGCTCTATAGGTACTGTTGTGAAATAATCTCTAGATATTTTAGGTGAAAAATTTCCAATGTAGTATGTTAACATTTGCAATAAAAAAAGAGGTTAAAAAGAATATATGTACATTTTTGCTTGTTACAGAAAGGGATTTAGTGGCAGGAGGACAAAGTCAGAACAGAGGTTTTTCACTGTATACCTTCTTGAGCCATGCATGTAACCATATACCCTAATTTTTTTAACTACAAAATTTAAATTAAAAAATAAAAACACAAAAACCCCAATGCAACAGCAGCAGCCACAGTGGCTGAAGATGAGAGGACTCCTGTGCCAGCCAAGGTGGAAGCAGAAATTACTCCCCAGTCCCCACTGACTGCAGGAACAGGAGGGCCACACACCCATTTGGTGGCCACAACATTGAAAGCTGAGACAGCAGGACTGGTCTGGACCTGAGGGGTCAAAGACAACACTTGCAGCCAAGCCTGGCACTTGCATAGGGGCAAAATGTCCCAAGTCAGAGGAAATGGGTAAGAATTGGGTACACATCACCTGTATTGGGAATGAACAAATGTGTTCTGAATATTTGGAAAAAGCAGACATTCTAGGGGTAGGGAGTTCTAAAGCTTTGGTGCACTTGAATGGATAAACTTGCCAGAGCAGAGTTTTCCAAGCATGGCTCCCTGTGGTTCACCTCTACCAAGCTTAACCTACCTTCCGCTTAGGCAGAGTGAAGAGGCACCTCAGCATAACTCAGATCACAATGGAAACATCTCATTTCTTAAAAGCTGTCAAGGAATTGGTGTGAGGTTTAAAAACGTCTCTGAGCTTGATGGAAGGAAGGTAGGCGGTGATAGTTCATGCTCCCTTTCCTCCAGACACTTATCATTTTCCTTTCTCAACCTGGTTTGATATTACGATTTCTTTTGCTTCATTTGTTAAGTTCTCTTACAGTACTTGTTCACAAGTGAGTGAAGAGCTGTTCTCTGCTCATAACCTTGGAAATGGGGGAGTGTTTCGGAAATGACACAACAGAGCATTAAGTCGTGAAACAAGAAAGGGAACTTCAGATAGAATTACAACAATCATTTGAGAATCTCACTGAGAGCTAAAAAAAAGCCACACACATAGAGGAGTGTTTTTAAATTTTTTTTTTTTTGTACTTTGTTGAGTTTCCTGCTTTCAGTTTTCCTAACTTAGCCACAGAAAGTGTAGGCATGAAAAACATATTGGCTGGATTTCCTATAAGACTTTCGCGTTTTAGAAAACAAGGAAACAAACTCAGATTTTGTCATACTAGCACCTAAGGCATAGTTCTTGCCTCTTTTCATTACTACACACCCTCACATACACCACATACACACACATACACATACGCGCACACACATATGTTTGTGTTTGGATAGATAGAGGTATATGTCATAGACTATTAACTGCTAGGGATCTTATAGATCATAAGTTGATGTCTTCATTTCAGATATTAGAAAATGGAAGATTAAACAAGTAAAATGAGTAGAATGACCCAGTTGGAATTTAAATCTAGATTTTCTAGCTCCTAGTGAAGGGCTCCTTCACTTCTGAAGCCCTGCTAATGGGCTTGTAAAGTCCCTCTCCTTTTAAGGAGTGTTCCCTTGAACTTAGTACAGTATTATGGTTTCTTGATGATTCAGACAAGTCCTTGACATGGTGTTCCTTTGGCAGGCACATGGGAACAGAATGGTGTAGCAGTTGCTGTATTATCTCTAGTAGCATGTGACAAAAGAGCTGTTTTGGACATTCAAGCATTCATCTTTTTCCTGAATATCATTTACTCATGCATGTAAAACCTGTGTTAGGTTCTGAGGTGCAAAGATACTTAAAAGAATATTTACAATAAGATCCCAGAGGGGGTGAGAAAGGAATGAGCGAGCGTTGGATATACACCAAAATAGACCATCCTGGCTAACCACAGTGGAATTAAAGGCTACACTTTCCCATCTCCTTTTTTTTTTTTTTTAGTTAATCTTAAATGTCTACATTCTGTATAATGAACTTTCATTGCTTTTAGAATTTAAAAAACTTGGCAGGGCACGGTGGCTCACACCTGTAATCCCAGCACTTTGGGAGGCCGAGGCGGGCAAATCACCAGGTCAGGAGATCAAGACCATCCTGTCTAACACGGTGAAACTCCGTCTCTACAAAAAATACAAAAAATTAGCCGAGCGTGGTGGCGGGCACCTGTAGCCCCAGCTACTCAGGAGGCTAAGGCAGGAGAATGGCATGAACCCAGGAGGTGGAGCTTGCAGTGAGCCGAGATCGCACCACTGCACTCCAGCCTGGGTGACAGAGTGAGACTCTGTATCAAAAAAAAAAAAAAGAATTAAACTTATTTTTAATTTTAAAAATTGACTAAGACACGTTATGATTTAAATATATTTGTCCCTTCAAAATTCAAAAGTTGAAACTTAACCCCCAAGTGGATGGTATTTAAAGGTGGGACCTTTGGAAGATGATTAGATCCTTGGGAGGCCTGAAATCAGATGTCTGTATTTTTTGGTTACATCATTCAATAAATTCCACTTATGATTTAGGCCAGTTTGAATTGGGTTTTGTAATAGTGTGTATGTATGTAAGTCAGGATCCTGGCAGTACACAAATGGCACACTTAATGACGTAACTGAGGAGATAGTGAAGATACAGGGATTATACACAGGAAGATACACACAGATACAGGGATTAAGAGAAACCCATGAGAACTATAAATATCAGGGAGCCTTCTCATCCCTAGGCCTGAAAGGACAAACGGAAAAACTGGTTTCCCAGAATCTAAAACTTGGGAAGAGATGTGGCTGTAGCTTCAGGAGAGGGCTACCTGACAGGAGCTGTGGCCTCCATGAGCAAAGCAGCCCGGGAAAGCAGGAAGGGGACCAAGAAATCAACACTCCCTCCCTGTTTCCTCCCACTCCTCAAATTCCTCTTGGTGGTTCCACTGGCTGACCTTGAGTGGAAGTTAGAGAGAGGGGAGGCCATTTGAACAGTCTATTGAAGTTAGCCTCTTGGACACTGAGCATGATGGAGACGGTGAAGAGAGGATCTGGAGGGGCCATGGAGAACATTCATCATCCTGTGATTCTAATACAGTCCTGCATTGCTTAACAACACGGATGTGTTCTGAGAAATGCCTTCTTGGGTGACACGTCATTGTGTGCACACCATAGTATACTGACACAGACCTAGAAGGTGTGGCCTGTTACACACCTAGGCTACGTGCTACAGCCTGTTGCTCCCAGGTCACAAACCTGTATAATATGTTACTGAACTAAATACTGTAGACAGTTGTAACACAGCAGTATTTGTGTATCTAAACACATCTAAACATAGAAAAGGGACAGTAAAAGTACAGTATTATAGTTTTATGGGACTAACGTCGCATATGCAGTCTGTCATTGACTAAAATATCATTAAGTGGTGCGTGACCATTTATTTTTTACAAAGTACCCTGGTATACTAAAAAACAGTTGATAAATGACTATAATGATCATTACAACAGAGTGATTACCTTAAATTATTAAATCACTCAGTCCCACTTATTGAGCATTCATTGTTTTGAGCACTTTGAAATAGTGCAAGGAATTTAGAAGTTATAGTTGCTCATCTCAGGGGGATAACAACCAAAAAGGGTACAATGAGATATTATAAATGAAAAACAAGATTATGGGATAAAAAGATCTTAAAAATTCAGGCTTCACGGGTGGACCAATCCATGTATTCAGCTCTCCTGGCCACAGTTACTGGGCACAAGAGCCAAAGGAGTCAATGAGACAGAGTGATTCCCAGGACTTTGAATCTATTAGAAGAGACATATGTTCTTCCCTTCTAATGTGTGCTTTGAGAATGTTAGGTCTGGACTGCACTGGGCATTTTGGCACCCTGAGAGAAGGATCTCAAGCTGCTCGAAAGCCACTTCTACAGAACCTGAAGATGAAGTCAAAGGAAGGCAGCACAAAGAGAAAACTGGATCCTTGGTGACAGCATTTGAATCACTAGATTAACTCTTGCCTGAAGCCAGACATCTAGACTTTTTAATTACTAGACCCAGTATGTTTTCTTTATGATTTAAGTCAGTTTGAATTGGATTTTGTCATTTGCATTCTAGAACATCCTAATTAATACACCATCCAAGGAAACCAAGATAACGAAAACAAACTACTGTTTTTAAAGAAAAGATTTTAATGTTCATGGAAAGTGAATTTTCACACAAATTATTGCATTTCATAGCATCCATCCAGATTTAGTCACTTTTTTTCATATATTAACACATGTAGGGTTTTTAAAAAAAAGCTCTTATTCTTTTTTTCTTAAAAAATATTTGTGTTTTTTCCCTAGACTGCTAAGCAGAAAAAAGCTCTTATTCTTATCCTTCATCCTAATTCTTAAAAACAAAGCCCTAATTTACGATTTCAGTATTTCAGTGACAGTAATCATAAGAAGTAACCCGATTAGACCATTCACTTTGCAAAATTATCTGTAAGGGAAGCAGTACTTAGAATACTTATTGTGGATGTCATTTGCCTGAAGAGTTGGTCAGTATAAATAAAGGCTGGTAAATAATGTTTTTTTAAATACCTCTGGCATGAAAGTTGTCATAAATCCTGGAATAAAGACTTTTTTCCCCATATACTCCTAGGACTAAAAATGTTGCCTTTTAGTCCTGTTTAGAATTGTCTTTTGGATTTGTTGATAAACCCTCTTATGTCTGTATGACTTATACAATCAGATGTTGGCTGATGCATTCAGATCCCTGTGCTGTGAATCTTTATTTATTTATTTGCTTTCTCAATTAAATGAATGGTTTTGGTGACAAACCACTGGTGTTAACACAAACAGCTAAGCTGATCATTTAGGAAAAGCTCAACATTAAAGGATTCTAAGTCTGTTGTTAGGCTACGGCAGTAACTCCAATCTCATTCACAATTAACCACTCAATCATCACCTAATTCATAAGAAAAAAAACTACCATAAATAAAAGTTCTTGACTGGGGGCAGTTGCTCATGCCTATAATCCCAGAAATTTGGGAGACCAAGGCAAGAGGATTGCTTGAGCCCAGGGGTTCAAGACCAGCCTGGGTAACATGGAGAGACTCCTTCTCCACAAAAAATGCAAAAATTACCTGGGCCATGGTGGTGCATGCCTGTGGTCCCAGCTACTTTTGAGGCTGAGGTGGGAGGTGGGAGGATTGCTTGAGCCTAGGAGGTGGAGGTTGCAGTGAGCGCCACTGCACTCCAGCCTGGGTGACAGAGTGAGACCCTGTCTAAAAAAACAAAAACAAAAACAAAAACAAAAACCACACATATGTTCTTTCTGCTGTTTGGAAGGAAGCTATTTCTATTTATTCAGTGTTTGGGGACCTAAATATATGTCTGAAAAGAAAATATTGCTGTACTACAGGATGGTGATTGAAGTCCTGAAAATATCAGGAAACTGTTCTCATTTGTTATTTGTCAAATTGTGCTAGTGCTTTCTGTAAACACTTGTAATCTCTGTTTTTGCAGGTGAAAGAAGACTGAAGCTGAGTTCTATTATCAAAGCAAAGTGCTGTACTGTATTTGAAATAACTCTAGCAAATACTGTGCTTCCTGCATAGAACCTGTTGGATTACTCACATAAATGTCAAAGAACAGGTTGACATTTTAGCAAGTGATCAACCTGGCCCATATAGTTTTTACACTTTGCAGGGTTCAGAGAGCAGTCAAATGTTGCTTTTAGCCTATGATCCAAAGCAGCTAATGACAGAGTCTACCTTAGAACATAAACAGGCTTCTGATTTATAACACAAGGCTAAACATTGCCTTGTAGATATTGTGTGATGTGTCCAGTTACATTAATGAAATAGCTTTGCAACAGTGTGGAGTCAAGACTTAGGCTTAAAACAGAGAATTTGAGGATTAAGATAAGTCCAGAGAAGCAGCAGGATGGAGTGCAGATGCAAGAGAAAGGCTATGTCAATGCCATATTATAAATATAGCTCATAGACAGCATATCCTAGTGTGTGTCTGAAGAGGCCTGTGTCCTTGAGGAAAGGGGAGATTATGACCTTGTCCCCCAGTGTCATTTGCACAAATTCCTAGAGACCTTGGGGCAGTGAGTAGGAGA